ATGCTTACTCCACAATTGTAAAACAGGTGTGCATATTTAGCCTTCAGGAAGGAATACGCACACACAGTAGTCTTTTTAGTTCAGCAACATTTATTATTAAACGTGTATCTAACTCGCAGGAAGGAATTGGGGCTCTTTGGACTGGGCTTGGCCCCAACGTGGCAAGAAATGCTATTATTAACGCTGCAGAACTAGCCAGCTATGATCAAGTGAAACAGGTAATTTACAAGATGCTGGATGCTTGCCTTTTGGAGTCAATTTCTATTCTTTTTGTCCCTATCTTATTATTTTCAATATATAATCAATTTACTTTACTGCAGACCATTTTGAAACTTCCAGGCTTCACCGACAATGTTGTAACTCATCTACTTGCTGGTCTAGGGGCTGGGTTCTTTGCTGTCTGCATTGGCTCCCCAGTTGATGTGGTAACTCCATGTCGTCCACATAAGAATATATGCTGATGCCTACACCATATATTCTGTGCTTCTTGTCTTGTTATGTTCAATAATGATAAGCTCATAATCGAGTCATGACTAGAAACTGGTGGGACTAGTAATGGCATCTAGAGATTAATTAGGTTTCTTGTTGACAAGTGGGGCTTTTGCAGTCCGTTTTGGTAGATCAATATACGGAAATAGCCTTATTTTTCTTCTGATCGTTATTATTATGTGACTAACATCATGTATATTTTGATCGCCAACTGGTCTCCTTCTCTTGCAGTGTTAACATTTTACTAATTCGTATATTCTGTGCTTCTTGTCTTGTTATGTTCAATAATGATAAGCTCATAATCGGGTCATGACTAGAAACTGGTGGGACTAATAATGGCATCTAGAGATTAATTAGGTTTCTTGTTGACAAGTGGGCCTTTTGCCGTCCGTTTTGGTAGATCAATATAAGGAAATAGCCTTTTTTTCTTCTGGTCGTTATTATTACGTGGCTAACATTATGTACATTTTGATTGCCAACTGGTCTCCTTCTCTTGCAGTGTTGACATTTTACTAATTCATTTCTTCTGCTTTACTTCTGGTTTGTATACCCAGGTCAAATCCAGAATGATGGGCGATTCAACTTACAAAAGTACCCTTGATTGTTTCATCAAAACTTTAAAGAATGATGTATGCTTTCTTTTTTTCTCACATTACATCATTCTCTCAGGTCACATTGCCATCTGCTTTAGGTAGTATATGCATAATTAAGCGGATCCATAGTTGTCAAGATGATTTAGTTCAGCTCTTTAGAGTTCAGAATTTTATCCCAGCTCATTGTATATGGTGGGCAGTATCCAGAAGCGTAAACCACAGTTGTTTTGTTTCCATGACACATTATGCATAGTTAACACTACTTCCATGTCAGAAAATAATTGATCATTTTCGTTTCTGTCACAAGATATGCCTTTTCCCTGGGTTTGGGGTGTCCTGGGTCTGATTGCTTCATCTTATATTGAATTTTGATCAGACAACAGGATTGTCAGTTGGTGTAATTTATCTCCTCTGATTGGAGTCTGATATTTTTCAGGGACCTCTTGCCTTTTATAAGGGGTTCATCCCCAATTTCGGGCGGCTAGGATCATGGAATGTGATCATGTTCCTCACCTTAGAACAGGTATGATTTGAATCACGTGTTATGCGCTTGAATTTTCTTAGCATACATGTTACTGCTGAAAAACAGTAACTTGTCCAAGAAATCTTCTGAAGCATTAGGCATGTGAATGCTGAAATATTGACTATAGAAATGGGCCTGGCTGGGGATCCTTCAGGCAAATTCTCCCTTTGCTTCATTTAGTGTTTGCTTGCTAATCTATACCTTCTTCTAATGCCAGGCTAAGAAGGTCGTCAAAAAAATTGAGTCATCTTGAACACAACCAAACATAAATTGGATTGTCTGAGGAACCGACTGCAAATGGATTGATATTGTTGAGAAACAATAGCTTTGTTCTTTCCATATAGCCAGGGATAGATCTCTTGCTCTCTTTTCTGCGAGGAAATAATGATAATTAGATATATGGGTACTAGGGATTTTTTTTTAAAATTGTCATCTATTCTGTAGGATTCCATTCCGAGTCGCTGATTTTATACTTGCTTCAGTTGTGATTACAATGTAAACTGTATCATTCATTCATTCCATGAGGGGAAATCTAAAAGTTTAGTTTAAAAATTCTGGACTTATTGGTGCATTTTTTTTCACGAGCTGCATTTTTTTCACGAGCAAGACTAATTGGTGCATTAGAAGATTTGTTTTGGAAAACCTTTTATTTGACTACCAAACCACTTCAGTAAAAGAAAACTGCTGTTAGTTAACATGATTTTACTTCCCTGCTCGTTCGTTCATCCTTATATTAGACTTATAGTAATTTTATATATGTTTTTAAAATCTAAATAAAGTATTTGGCCCATAAAAATATTGTTTATCACCCTCAGTTTCTTAGAAAATAAAATTACTCCTCCTGTCCTAATTATAAGACCCAATTGACTTATTTGAGGAGATTAAGGAAATAAGTTAAGTTGGTTATTTATAATAAATAAGTGTTGTCATTCCTAAAATATCCTTGCTAATTAAGTATATTGGCTAAAAATATCATTATTAGAAGGATTATCTTGGAAAAACATGCATAAATATAAGAGACAAAATGGATTGGGGTCTTATAATTAGGACCAAATAAAAAGTCAAATTGGGTTTTATAATAAGGACCGGAGGAGTATATAAGCATCTATAAATGAAAATGTCCCAGTTAGTAAATAAGTCGTTTGCACAAAATGATAAATTAGTTTCCATATAAATTAGAGCCCATTTGTTTAAGCTTAATAAAAAATTATTTTAATTAAGCCGCATGAGAAAATTGTTGAAAGAACCTTAAGTTAGATAAAAAGGATTATTAGAAGAAAATACATTTTTGGCTTATATTTAGTTTAATTAAAATCACTTTTATTTACTAAACTCAAACGAACAAGCTTTCCGGAGCAGTTTGGTGATGGACAATTGAATAAATGGTTCTAAGGGGCCAATGGCGGGGTGATGTCCGATCCTTGCCAGAGGTGGCGTTGGGAAAGACATTAGGGGTAAAGTGGTAAAATACCCGATATTTACAAATCTCAAATTGGGTCCATGAATGAATTAGAAATTTATCAAGTTCACCAGCCTAATTTGAGATTTCTCCATTTCGGGTGGTTTTATATGGATTTTTTTTTATATTCTTTTCAATCTTTGATTAGATTATGCACAATTATTTTACATTAAATATACTTGTTTACAGGTATATAATAGAAATTTTTTGGCCAATCGGGAAAAATACATAATTAAATAGGCTTTCCATAAATTATATTAATCGTATATAAGAATCATTTTTCTTCACTTTTAGATAATATGATGACGTTTTCTGGTAAAAAGTTTCAATATAATTTTAATTTTTAAGTTATCCTTGGTTAATCAAAACACATTTTTATTTCATACTAAGCAAATAAATTTAATTTTCGGAATCTTATTGTCCAAAAGAATCCGTTACAACTCATTTGCAAAGAGTATAATTTTTTTTCCTACTATATGCAATCTATTTTTAATTATTTCGTATAGTTCATGTCTTTATGAACTGTAAACTTTCAAACAGGTATTTTTAACGAAATTTCTTTTAATCTTATTTGTACATCAATTTAATATTATTTGTATAATTGTAGTAGCAGGGTATTTACAAGTTTGTTCGCTTTTCTTGTTCATAGCAAGGTATTTAACGGGGCTTTTTAGATGAGGGCGTCATAAGTTTAAATCCGTAATTGGCTTTGGCGGGCGCGTGAAGATATTTTTGTGAAAGGACATATTTTTTGAGTGTCTAACCCTTTGATTCAAAAGGAAAACCGGGATGTGTGATAAAATAAATATAAGGGGTTTTATCAAATAATTATTCTGATCTTACAAATAAATTTTTTCCAAATATATAAAATATAGCAGAACCTATTAAAATATTTTCAAATTTTTCTATCTTCCTAATAAAAAGTTTTTCATCTTCATTTTCTAATATAATCTTTTGTTGATTTTTTTTAGAAAAAAATCTCAATCTAAATAAAAAAAAAAAAGTTAGATGCTGCTAGTTATCTGTTAATTTTCCAAAATAATATTTACATATTTGCAATAAACGGAAAGATTAAAATTTTATAAATAAATAATATTTTTCCAATTAAACTAATATTGTCAAAAAGTAAAAGAATATATTCATACTAATAGTTGTATACATTTTTTCTGTTAATTTTTTGTAATGTTTCGTTGTATTTTTAATTTATTTGAATATTAAAATATTTGTATGAGATCAAATCTTAAACGTAATTCGTATTGTCAATAAGTGAGGTGAACTATAATATTTATGTTTTTATTTTTATGAATAATATGACATTTTATTAATTTATTTATATGCATGTACGTATATGTGCTTTTTTTTTTCCGGAAAAAAAAATATTTGCTTTTTTGGCCAAACATGTATATTAGTATATACTACTTATGATCCTTAATATAAAATCTTGTTTGACTTTTATTTTGATCTTAAATATAAAATTTCAATCTACTTTATCTCTTATATTTATCTATTTTTTCAATCTCAATCTATTTTATCTCTCATATTTATTTATGTTTTTAAGATATTTCTTCAATAATAATAGTTTTAGCCAATTTATTCCTTCGATCCTAAATATAAGACTTATTTTGTAGTGTAGTGTAAATTACACTACAATGAGTACACTGCAAAATGGGTCTTATATTTAGAATCGGAGGAATACTTGATCAGTAAAAATATTTTAGAAAAGACAACACTTATTTATTACAAATAACTAATTTAATTTTTTTTATTTTTTTTTAATTAGTTAATTAGTTCTTATAATTACTAACAGAGTATAATAATATTTATAAAATAACTTTCGTTTTAAATATCACGCTCCAAGAAATAAATCACATAAGCCGCAGCCTCCGTTTCCGTTTTCCCGGATTTCCCAAATCCATCGCTGTCGATGTTATGTCATTCTCAACTCGCAAACTTCGTTGAGGTGTGTCGAGGCAAAGAATTCTCGCTTGTCTTCCGATCTTCTTGGTGCAAGTGAGAGATTTTTCTTAACGATTCCTCTTTTAGTCTTCCTGCATTTCATTCCCCTGTTTTTCTTTCTGGCACTCGCTTTTCTGGCTGAGATGCATAGACATGTACTGGATATGGCTTTCTTGTGTTTTTTTCTTTCAGATTTTGAATTTTTATTTTCTCGTGTGCGTTGCATTGGTTACCAAATACCTGTTAAAATGATAACACATCTAAGCACATTGTTGGACTTGCCTTTAATCACCGAATTAGCCAATGTATATGCTTTTGTTTATGAAGTTTGGATAACCTGACGATGGAGACTGTGCGTAGGTTGGGTAGTTCTCGTGCAATATTTTCTGGCCAATGATATGTTTTCAAGATGTCGAGGTTCCTAACAATAGAAATGGTGTTGGGTTAGATTAATGAGATGAGTATTGTACTTTCCTTCAATCATAAAAAATTCCAAGAGGCTAATGTGAAATTGCATTTCTTGATTCTTTGATTAAGTTTGGATATCGTGGAATATGCTGGAAGATGATACTATATTTTCTGGATTTCCTTATAATCGGAATGGTAGTTTGGATGTCTTGGAATTATAGCATTTCTACTTGCTTATCTTTTACTTTGCTATAGCTATATTTGCAGTTTGAAGGACGGAACTTGGCTTCCTTTTTCCTTTTAAAACGTGGAGAGTTGTGAGAAGTAGTTATTGAATATGCTTCAGATTCGGCTTAGTAAGTTACCGGCCTCGGAAGGTTCAGCAGGGGCGAGGTCTGCACCTGTCGAGACTGCAATTGCATGCCCCGACCATCTAGTCCTGGCTGATCTACCTGTTGCAAAGGGTATCGGTGCAGCCACTGCCACTTCACTTATGAAGAGTTTAGGACGGAGGTCCCGCCGCCAGCTCGGCAATAGAGTTCATTTCTGTGTTCGTTGTGATTTTCCCATAGCTATCTATGGACGATTGGTAAGTACTTTAATAGGGGAAAATAAATTCACAAAATAGAACATTCTAGCTGAATAATTATTTGAAACTGACTTCATTCTCTTTAGTAGTGTGCAACCGAGTCAAAGGAAAGATTAATGTCGTGTCAGTTGTGCTATGCTTATAGCTGTTAAGAGAATCTCATTCTTACTCACACCCAATTCTCCTCAGTCGATGATGCATAAAAGTGTATTATAACTTGGTTTGTCATTTGAATAGTTGTACGAAGTATATGTCAGTTGCTGCCATTTGATTAATGCATGATTGAAAGTGGGGTCAAGAGTGTCATGAATGGGAGGTCTGCATAAACTACCCGAGTCCTGCGCTTGTTTAGGCTGGTCATTTCTGTTTCATGTTTGTATTTTATGGCAAAAACATTGAGATGAACATTTCACATTGTTTTCTTTTTCCTGCTCTTCATTCTGTGATGACTTTTCTGTGATAGAGGACAGTTGGTTTACTTTTAAAGCATTCCTTTGCCAATCTATTAGATTTTTTTCTCTTCAATTTAGATAATTATATGGCTATTACACTTATGACTTACCTGTTTCTTAGGAATGGCATTGTGATATCTGTATCTCTGAAATGCATTTCTAGTCTTAAGAAGTTTTATTTTCTTTGTATAGTTCTGATATGGACCTCATTAGTGATGTATTTCAGTTTCTGATGTCATCGGGACATCATGGCTGTCATGATTTGTGTTCGGCTTCACTTTCTTTGTCTGGGCTGTTTTCCCGGAAGGGTAGATGGGCTGAACGTATGCTTTAAGTTCTTGCATTCTTTGATGGTGGCTCGCTATGACTGACAGTTTGTGGTCTTGCAGAGCCCTTGCGAGCATGCCTTCTGCCTTGATTGTGCTAGAAGTGACCCAATGTGCTGCCTGTAAGAATGTTTCTTATCTTCTGATCGTCGAATAGGAAAGCAATGAATTCCCGGTTATTTGTTTAGGAAGATTTTAGTTTCCAGCTCAACATAGGTTGTCTTCTTCCAACCTACACATATAACAGCTTTGAGTCCTAGTTCGAATGCCTTTGATTTCGGGCTTGAATTTTACTACTGAGTTGTATTCAATACGTTGCATAACATGAATTTGATGTAGTTTTTAAGTATTTAGCTAACACGATTTCATAACACATTCTAAACTTATGCATGTCATTTTGCAATATCAAAGTGGCTTGGAGTATTAGAGGGGACAAGGATAATTTTGTTCATTCATTTTATTAATAGACGTTTTGCTTTAAGGTTCACGAGATATATCTTTCGCAGTTTGACAAATAGAATGACTTTGTTTCCTTGGAACAGGTGTGATGAACGAATCCAGAAGATTCAAACCATCAAAATGATGGAGGGAATCTTTGTTTGCGCTGCTCCCCATTGTCTAAAGTCTTTCTTGAAGAAGACTGAATTTGAATCTCACATCCAAGAAAACCACTCTGATCTGCTTCGGCCTAATGCAGAGAGAGAGGATGGAAATGAGTCAGAGGCACAGAGTGTTAGGCAATCTACAGCATCAGACTCCACTGCTCGAGGTCCCCATAGGCCCGTTTTCTCTCCTGGTTCAAAGTCTCAGCTTCAGGATTGGGATGATAAAAGCCGTCAACAACCAACGAGAGAGCAGCCCCCTTCAAGGTCAATTCAACAGCCAAAGCCACCATTTTTGGGTCAAGCACCTAATCCTTCTTTGGATCCTCAGTCAGGCAACACTGGAGCTATTCAACAGGACTTCCATTCACAGAGTTTTGACATGAAGCACTCCCAACGTGAACCCTGCCATCTCGTTGAGAGACAGCAAGGAGTTTCTTCAGAGACCCCAATTCGTGATTATCCACCCATGCATTCTATCAAGCCAACCGATGTTGCCATGCAAGTTAATCCCAATGCATTTCCGAAACCTCCTATAGCATTTAGTTACCCCCCTTACCCACAAGAGGTAGGTCAGCCTTTTTATGCTACATCCTATGACATGCCTAGGCAGAACTCGTCTTCTGAAATAGGTTTCGATCAGGGTTCACTATTTGGATACCCACGAGTTCCTGTAAGTGGCCCAAATTTTCCAGCAAATTATCCTCAGGCCTGGAATGTAGGAATGACCGGTGTACCTTTTGATCAAGCTCAGGGTGGTATGATTACTGATCCAAGAGATGCTAAAGGGATGTAGGTGTGACGTTCAGTGCCCCCCAAGGTCTCATTTTGTAACCTCCGGAATAGAAATAGTATTTTAAATGTTTGATGAGCTTGGAGTTCGTTGAGTGTGGTTGTGGGTAGCAGCATGATTACTGTGATATATTTGGACAACATGACTAACAAGGATTCCCAATCATCAGTGTTATGGTATCTCATGAAAGAAAGTGGTGTTAGGATGATTAACTTCAGGGTGACTCCTAGTTTTGTGTTTTAGACTCAAGAGGGTAATATCTTGAGCTATCCAATATTAATTCAAGTTGTCTTTGGATAGTTTCGTTCTCATTGAATTTTAGAAGTTCTTCAATAGGTGTCTAATGGCTATAAAATTTTCGTTTTTCCCCAAAAGAATGGGGAAATAATTGAGAAGGTCCAGTGGGAGGAAAGCAATAGAATCATGGTTCCCATGAGAAATGCTACTTTGAAATCAGAACCTCTGATTCTGAAAAACGATGAGAGGTTGATGCATAGATGATAATAGATGTCAAAAAAGCGAAATATATTTTTTTAACAAAAAACACGATGCGACATAAATCAAGATTGGCCAATTTTACATGCAATTGAATTAGAAGCCATTAACTTGTTCAATTTATATATAGATAAATAAATGCAGAATAACTACTTTATGTTTACCTGTAGTTAATACGGTTTTACTTTGTTGAGAACACATGTATAATTTTGTACATTTTTATTTGGTATTATCATATAAATTAATGTATTACATTTAGTTTAAGATGAATTGTACTACTCATAACTTACTGTATAACTTACTATAATTTTACATTTTATATTCATACTAGGGTTGAAGGTTGGTTACAGAAATAAACAAATAATTAAAAAACCTTGCAAATCTTTTCGGCTAGATAGACCTAGACTGGGCCGACCCATCCTGCCGCAGCAAAAAGGACTTGCGGCCATGTCTAGCCATGCATCAACTTTTTTTGAGCCGCTCTTTTCTTAATCATACCTTTTCTAGTATCAAAAGGAGTTGTCATCTACCCGTTCAATTCGCTATGTAAATCTAATCGGTGTTCTTGAGGCATTATGGCTTCTAAGAATGGCAGCATGTAGCAACATGACACTGCAAAACAAAAGTGTATGTAATATATTCAACTTAACTCCTAATCATGTGAAAAAGCTGTAAGGTTGTCCATTGCCATCAAACTTGAGAATGTACAGACTGCACATAACCTTGAATTTGAGCCTATGATGTATGTTTTGACCAACCAGAACATGTATATATTAATGTCCTCGATTATGGAAAATAGTTTTCCAGGAACAAGCGCAATGTTTTCTCAAACACTAATTTTCTTTAGTATGCTGGTTTTCACCTTGAGGGACCCTAACAACAGAGGTCACCTCTAGGTTGTTTAGATCATGTCCATCAGGAGAAGCTTCAGTAGCTTTCAGTTGCTTGCTGCATTGATCACTTGGAGGGGCGTCCACTTGCTTGTTGGATTGATCATTTGGAGGGGCATCGGCTTTGGTAGTTGCCACCTCTTTATTACTTTGATTATCATTTTGCGGGGTGCTGGCTTCAGCACTGGCCACGGCTGGGGAAGAATCCATAAGGCTAGCTGCTATTGCAGCCTTCAAATCCTCATCTTCCCCGTCTGAAAACATTTCTTCTTCTCCGTATGAAAGGAATTGATCAGGATGGTGTTGGGGCTCATCGACTCTCTGGCCAGGAGCCTGTATCGAGTTGCAGGATTTATTTATCCTCTCAGCATCTTCAGGTGACAGCCACTGTCCAAAACCATTTGAAGCTTCAGATGAGGATATTGGAAATTCTTTTGGGAAGTTTCCTCTGACCAGGAATATGCTCCATCCAAAGCCTTTCAAGGAGTCAAGATAGGCTGAGAGGTAGAACTTTGACAGGTGCTGTGGCGCTGCATAGAGACTGTCAAAATTATACCATTCCCCATTCACTTTGCGTATACAAAACCAATGGTTTTGCAGATGACAAATAAAAGCATTTTCCAGTCCAGGATCAATCTGGGCAGGCTCAGCAACTGGAGAGTCCAAGGGGATGACTTGCAGATCCCAAACTTCCAAAGCTTTCTGCAAAACCTACAGGAAAAACTTTTCATCATTAAGTAAACCATCAAAATGCATGGCAAAAAGTGACATTAAAGGATGCAAATCCTGATTTAGTCACCTATTAGAGAATTGAAGGGAAATATTTCACCAACAAAATCCAACTACTTTCAACATCTTGCAAAAAGGAAATTAAGGATTAGTTGATGACATCATATAAACTTGATTTGGCTATTATAGACAAAAGCCTGCAAAATAGTAGTACACACTGGAAAAAAGACATTTAATCAAAATCCAGATTAATTAATGCACATGTATTAATTAAAAAATCATAAGAGGACTGCAGTCGAATTGGAAACCAGATCAGTAACCATTCTCATTAACATATATCTGCAACTCAGTTCAATTGGCCTAACATGACTTTACGTTAGATTTCAGGTTTCGCACAATCATGCTAAGATAAATGGCGTATTATGCGAGCAGCTTAGAAAATTTGAAATATTAAATAGCATTACAACTATCTAAGACCCAATCAACTTATTGAACGAAGTGAGCATTGTGTATGTGTCTTAAAATTCTCAACCAAAACAAAAATAGCATGTCTTTCCAATTGGTGAACTTCCTCATCCTGTCTCGACATTGCGAACATCTGCAGATACATGCATATCAATTTGCTCACTATTTTTGGCATTCTACCTATAAAATTTATGGAATCATCAGAGTAAATAAGTATAAATGCACATTCATAAACAGACATTAACTCATCATCTTCCAAAGGCTTGTTAGACATTATTTGAGGGAGAAAAAGAGAACATAAATAAGGGAAACAACTGCAAAGTATCATTCAAAATTTGTCAAACATCTTAGCTTACGTATGGAAATAAGTAACAACCTTTTGTTATTTAGGTACTCGCTATGGGTTTTTTACAGTGGTAAGAGGCCCAACCTGTCATAAAAATGACCTGCCCTGACAATTGGTATTGCCACCCATTAATTCCCACATGTATAAATTTTAAACTTCTTGCTCAGCTTTCCCATTAAAGTGCCAAAAATAAAGCTCAAAACTTGTGCCACACAAGTTAACTTGGTCCTCAAGCTAATGTTTATATGATTATGAAAACTTTTAGCCTAACGAAATGCTAAGTAGCTATTAGAATTTCAAATATCAAATATCCCCACAAGACTATCTGGCATATGACTATCATATATGAAAATAAAATTATCGTTCAAAAGGCTCAAGCAAACAAAAGTTTTATGAAATAAACGGGGACCATAATGTAGTACTATTCTGGTTCATCATATACTATTTTTATCATTATAAGATTTGTTATACAATATCATTCTAAGATCTGTTATACAATATAATGTTCGTTAATTCTATAGCATACATTGCTAAGCCTGTAGCCTTACCCCCCAAAAACACCATATCTCATGCCCGTACCATGCCCATGCAATCTAAGCATTAAAAGGATCAAAGAATGCAAAATATAACATGCTGCCAGTTTACTTGTAAGCTGAAAAAGATGCCAAACTGTTAAATCTCTTGCTCAACCAAGGTGCATGACCATTAGAATACACATATGATCCACACCAATCAGTAAAAGTATAGATAAACAAACTTAGTTGCGCACTAGAGCCAAAGGCATCGAGCAACGCCCAAAAGTTGGCTTGTAGAGATTCCAGGCAACGAAGAAAAATCGAGAAGGGGCTGAAACTGACATATACAAGAAAAAACCTCTGAATAAGATTCTATTTTAAACTTAGGTGCGCCCTTCCTTACTCAATCTGGTCCAAGCGAAGGAAACTCCCTCCGGGCGAAAAAATGTAAGCAGTTATTATGCAACAAGGGATGCCCATAGATCATTCAAGTAGACCATTAGAACTCATTGTTCCACGTCCACGTTCATTCATCAACTAAAGCATGAAATACGCATGTAAATTCAAATAAGCTCAATCAACAATTAGCGAGTAATCATGTAGTATTCAGCCAAAACAAGAGAGACTTGCTACTTCCACCAGAAGTGTGTGTTCAGTAGATATTAATAAAAAGCCCTTTCCGAGCCTTTTCCTAACAGTTTAAGATTTAAAATGAGTTGGACCTCGACAATTATATAATGCTCGCAGGAATCAGCATTTTAGCACGCAATACAATACCACATAAGTTGACCAAAGTTTTTCTGCCTGCTTTCATTGATATTATGAGAAAGAGGTGAGAGGGGAAGATAAAAGAATACACTTTGAAACTAAAACTTATAAAAGAGAGGAAATTGAAGAAACCTGTATACTAAAATCGCCATCCAAAGACACATTGTGGGACTCCTCGGTGAGAAAATCGCCGGAGCAGACGCCACCCTGAAGCATCATCTGACGCTCCTTGCGATCGAGATCGGATGCCAAAGCCGCTAAATCGAATTCGGAGAAGAATGGCCCCTGAAGCACTGTGTTGACGCAATGCATAGCGCAGAGCTTTGACTCTTGTACCTCATGGTACAACATTCCACCATTGCTGGCCCCTTCCATAATTTACAACCCCTATCAACGATTTCGCGGCGAATGCAGATGACGCTAAAAGAATAAATTATAAAACCCTAGAATTTATATAAAGGATTATGTGTTCGAGGAATTTGGTAAGGAGACGAGAAGGAAGAAACGAAAGAGTAAAATGGAATGAACTGAAAAGTGAAAATATCGGGGCTTTGGTTGCGGTTTCGGTTTCGTTTTGTGGAGATTTTCAGTCTTCGCGCGTGGACGTTATGATATGGGAGCGCGTGCCACTGCCACGTATGCATACTGGAGCTGTCCCGGATGGGGAGATTTAGATTTGGATTGGAGGCCCATTTCATTAAATCGATGCCACAAGGGCAGATTCCCCCCCCCCCTTTTTTTATATGGAATTACAATTGACTCCCATGAAAGGTACCCCTTTTTCACTGAAGTCCCTCACATTAGAAGTAGGATTTCAAAATCGAAACCTCGTGTTTAAAAAGTCAGAGTCCTTTCTATTAAGATCAATGAGGAGAGAAATTTGTTCCAGGAGCAAATTCCACCAAGTAGAGGAGCTAGGAAGACACTTAGGAGCAGAAATCTCGTTTCCCCGGAGAAGAAGAGATAAGTACAAGAACATAGTGGAAACAGTAAACAGGAGATTACAAAGGTGGAAAGCTTCCAGTCTTTCTCTTGCTGGGCGCATCACGCTTACCAAGTCGGTAGTTAACGCCATGACACTGTACCCGATGCAACATGACAGTATTCCTAAAGGGATCCTTGATGAACTGGAGAAAAAAGAGTGTGGATTTATATGGGGAGACAATGAATGCAAAAGGCAATGGCATGCTATATCATGGGATAAAATGTGTAGTCCAAAGAATTCGGGAGGTGTGGGAATAAAAACTCTCCAGACTATGAATGAGGCGTTCCTTTGCAAACTAATTTAGCGCAGCTTAAAGAGGCCAAATGAATTATGGGCTCAAGTCTTGAAAGGAAAGTATGGGGACAGAGAGACATAGCAGGGGAATGTAATTGAAAAGAGAAGTGATTCAAGGCTTTGGAAGGGGATGGTCAGGATGTGGGACAGATGTTACTCTAACATAGAATATGTGCAACAGCAGTCATCGAAAGATGGACCCAAGATAAAATGGAAATTGACAAAAGACGGGAAATTCACAATAGCCTCAGCTTACAACTGGTTGAGGGGAACTGCAAACGAGCAACAGAGAGAATGGACTCTAGTCTGGCAATTGAGAGTACCAGAACGAACCAGAATCTTCATGTGGCTGGTCATGCATAAGAGGCTAATCACAAAGGAAATAGCCAAGCGATGGGATGGATCCACTGGAACATGCCCAATCTGTAAAAAAGAACAGGAATCAATTCTCCATGCACTAAGAAATTGTCCTCATGCCACGGCAATCTGGAGAAATATTTTACCTGTCAAGTATCGAGTTGACTTCCTCAATGCTGATTGGAACTCTTGGTTGTATATGAACATGACAAACAGGAAAAAGAGCTACGAACTTTGGAGATGGTCTGATATCTTCACAGTGACCTGCTGGTTCATTTGGAGATGGAGGAATGCATTAATCCATAACCAAGACTATGAACCACCAAACAGTAGAGCAAACGAAATTTGGAAAGCCCTGAAGCACTATCTGTGTCGCACAAAGAGTGATGCGTTGCAAGCTAAAAGGCAGGAGACCATATGGGTATCATGGACCCCACCACCAAGAAATTGGTGCAAATTAAACACAGATGGAACGGTCTCAAGAGAAGGTGTTACTAGTTGCAGAGGAGTGATAAGGGGTGATTGTGGTGAATGGTTAAGAGGATTCTCAAAGAAGCTGGGAAACATGGACATAGTGGAAGCAGAACTGGTAGGAATTCTAGAGGGCATGAAGCTATGCTGGAGCATAGGTTTCAAACTCATCAGAGTAGAAAGCGACGCGAAACAGATAGTAGATTCCTTGAGAGCTCAAACCACTATCGTAGGATACTCACATATTCAGCAGAAGATACTAGAGTGGACGAATAGAGACTGGAGGGTGGAGTTTCATCAGATATACAGAGAAGTTAATCGATGCGCCGATTGCCTAGCACATATAAGCCTTCTACTCAAGAGCTCTTATGAGCTCTGGGAACAACCCCCCACGGAAATCAGAGACTTGCTTCGAGAGGACAGGGAAGGACGTGGGACTCCACGTGTGATCAGAATGTAATTTTGGTTTATTTCTTTGTTCACCAAAAAAAAAAAGGGCTTGTTGATAGATGCTTTGAATTTAAAAAGCGACAAAGCTACTCCGTGAAAGAAACAAAAAGAAAAGATGGGAATTGGTTGAAAAGAAAGGGTATGAATGAGTCACGTAGAAGTGAGTTAAATTTTGGAGTATTAAGCCTGATGGGACTAGGTTGTGAAGGTAATCAATATAATACTTGTAGTCCTTAATATAAAAATTAGATGATTAATTTGACAACCAAACTTAATATTGATACTTCAGTTGATCCAAGAAGCAAGGCCACCAGAGGATATTTAAGATCCCATTTGATATGAAATATTAAAAATAAGGGATAGAAACTAGGATTATAAGTGAAAAAAATCATTAAAAAATTTTTTAGCATGATTAATTACTTGTTACATGGGATTAGGCAAACTCATAAAAGTAGGATTAGTGAATACTACTTTTCCCGTAGTATTCTTTAATCCCACATACATGGATTTATCTAATCTCATGCAACAAATAATTTTTCATACTAAACACTATTTTCTTAATTTCAATTCAAATCTCTATTCCTCATTTTTAATATTTCGTATCAAACGATATCCAAGAGTTTTCCAATAAACTTGGCCACTTGTCCGATCATATTAGCTAAGCTCATATGCATTGCGTTAAAAGCTTTGGTGGATTCAATGGTGCAAAGAAGTTCAAGAATCATCCCAATTTCAAAGAAGCGTTTATGCCTTAGCCGGAACATTTCTCCTAGTTTCATCAAAGAAATTAGAGACTCGCCTATTGGACCATCTCATTTGATTACATGCCTATAAAAGCAAATTCCTAAGCTCATTAAATTGCACGCTTGACCCATTGCACAGACATTGATTTTATGAACAGATGGCCCCTCTCGAATGCAGTAGTCTTTTGCTTTACGATATGTATATAAGCAACATGCTCTTAGGCTCTTAGCCCCTCTCTCTTCTACGGATAAATTCCACAGCCTTTAATATGGTAAAGATTAATCGGGTAATCATCATTACAATGTACCGTTTACTGTGAAGAGAAATTTATTTTGAAGAGAAAATCATTTTCACGAGAGCTCTCATCATTGTATCCCTTTCTACTTATCTTCAATTTTAAAGGATCCGAATTTATGGCACTACAACCCCCTCAATTTGTGCCTCCAACTGGGTTGTGTAAATCTACTCTTGAACCACTGCGACTTCGGATCGGGCTAACAGGCCCAAAAAAAAAAAAGGACTAGGTAAAAAAATTATTTACCATGTTTCATGCATAACCACGACTGACATCTTTATGATAGAATTCTTCAATCTAAACATGATAAATATTTAGTCTTTTTTAATGATACGATAAGTACAATTGTTTATAATCAATCATTTGAGGTCCATACGTGTGTTTAATCGGAAGACATCACGAATGAAGAACACTAGCTACTCCTCATTTGCATGTACCGTTCAAGAGTCAAAGGTAAAAGAGAATGAGAATATGACAATTCAGTGTTTCTATTACTGTTAAGGTCAAAGCCACATGAAATCCTACTCTACAATATCTAAAAGGAAAGAGTACAAAATAAAATCTGAATCATGCACCAATTTTCCTTTCGCCCCATTCATCTATGCAATTATTCCTCAACAGAGAAGATCATAATGGTTCTTACCGCTGTATAATAGCCTCACAACTTTCTTGGGTTTCGAGTTCCTTGTTTTCTTCTTAAAATCACTTCCATATTCCGCAATGGCAATGAAACCAGATCCCCATCCACTCCCCCTATGCTGCATTTGATTAATAAGAAGATATATGTTAATAGACCCAATCTTACACCTACCAAACACAACCACTTGTTCCAAAATGCATAAATAGTTGGTTTTCTTGAAATTCGCTGTCGAATTGAGCGTTGATGGACGGCTTGAAAGACCGATGGCAGTCCCTTGTCTCTAGTCTCTACTAATATGTTTATGCTATTACAGAAGATACTGATAATTTGATAAACACAGAGAGAACATAAACTACAAGAAAACAATACACATAATCTAGTGAAATGACAAGGGATCATCGTCCAAGAAGATAACAGCAGGACATTATTTTTGGTTTTTATAAACAACGTTTTAATGTACCGTAATTAGACTTCAGTCATCACTCTACTTTTGTTAACAGTGTATTTGGTCCTTGCTTGAATGCTATGTTTGAAATTTTGGTTATAGGGGTCCTGTTCTAATTATAGACTAGGTTATATGTTGCTTTTGCCTATATTTCCCCAGTTAAATTTGGTGTTTACTTTAGTTGAAAACCAGCCATGGAGTGAAGGAGAATTCGAAAGCCTGGAGACTCATGAGTCAACTTTCCATCTCATTTATTTGCTTAAAATATATAGAGTGCTATATTAAAACAATCTCGAGTTACAATGCCACCTCTAAGACACAGCAAGGTGTCTCTAAAAGTAAGCCATCCAATTATCTTGTAAAATCTGGAACTTGCCAATCACTGGCCCTAAAGCCATTCTTATTCTCATTTTTCGTTTTTTTTTTTTTTTCAAAAAAAGAGAGAAGAAATTGAAAAAGCAGTAGCAAGGGGAGGTTCCCCACAATCACCAATGGCTAAAAACGTTTTTTCATAGCCTAAGTGTTCAAGTTAAATACCTAATGATCCTTAGTTCCCCCTGCGCTATGTTTGCTTCTTGAAAATTAAAATCACAGTCGTACATCTACATCTCTCTTGTTTCCCTTGCAAGGATGCAAGTAATTTTTCCAATATAGATACAAGCAGCATCTCAAACAGCCAATATGCCATCATCTTTAAATGACAGAACAGTCATTTACTATGCATCAGATTCACGTAAATAAACTCAATATAATATCACATTAACTTTCAATAGCTAAATTACCTGGCATGATGATATCATTAAGTCATAAGTCATACATCAGTGCATATCATACGGATATTATTAGATAAGCTGCCCATAGGGAAGCATCACTAGATTAGAAATGTCTCAGATTCCAATTAGCTTATATACTGATTCAGTGTGCCCAAAATAATTAAGACATGGTGACCAATTAATTTCTCATTTCCTATGAATGGATCTCCGCATTACATAAGAGATTAGCAATCTGTCTGAAATGCATTATTGTTCATACACAGTAACATAACGAGAAGAGTAAGACGGCTTAGAAAAAGTCCAGCATGGCTGTGGGGAAAAAGGAAGTGGAGAGGCACACGCTAATTACAAGTTTTTCTTTCTCAACTATAAATAGATAACCATTGATTTACTTAGAACATAAAGTTACTTCAGGCATACCTCATGCTCTGGTATGTAAACAATAATTGGCTGCTTGCACAATTTTGAGAGCACCTGACAGAATGTGGACATTAGTCAGTATCTGAATTTTCAATTAAGGGGGCAGTGCGATTAGGCAGTCAATATATAAAAACAAATGTGATGGCAAACTTTTAGGTCCAGATAAAGTTTTAATCACAAGTTCCCACTAAAAGTAAAATAATATAACTTTCTTCTGATGTCTGATATTAAAGTAATAAAATATGCATTAAAGAATATTATAACTTTGGTTGTTAAAATAGTAAAATATACGTTTAATTTTATACGAAAGCATAAAATGCATATAATATCGTTGGCGAAAAAAAAAATGGATCTAATATTGAAATCATGAAAGTGTGGGGAAAAACAAAAAGACAAAAACTTCCAAGATATCCAGGAAAAACCACAAAAACTAACCAGTAGCTCTGACTCTCCTCCCCAGAAATCAGGCCTCAAAATGCGCTGGCAGTAACTACAGAATAACAAACCCAATTGTGCTGAGTACTTCTGCCATCAATTACACAAAAGGCAACATTTCATGATCTTTATTTCTGTTTTTCCTATGGTCTTTTCTGTCAATGCTTCCTGAATTTTCCCAAAAAAAGTTTAAAAAAGGGCATACCGTTTTAGAGACTCATCAACTGTGATGGCAATCAGAGCATCTTCATATAACTTGCGTTCTCCTTTATTTTCACAGATAACTTCTCTCACGGCCAGTCTTAATTCATCTGTGCTATCAGCAGCCAAGCCAGAGGTTGACCATTGACAAAAAGAAGAAAAAGAATAGAAGATGAGCAGGCCAGGTTAATATCATGATAGTCTTAAAGCTAAATTTATGATAATATATATATCTTAGAGCCATATGGTGAAAATTCTGCAATTTGAAAAGCACGAAAATATCAATTAATTTTTCCATCTGCGTGTCATTCAGTCTGTGTATCAGAATACCTGCATTTTCTCTCTCCTCATGTGGGTTAACAGCGATTCCCTTATTGTAAGCCATTCCTTTGACCTAAGGAAGAGAAATTTAGGCCAAATACATTGTATAAGCATTGCTTTGCAACTCAACTTACTTTCTGTGATTGTATGCGGTGGTCCCAAGTATAGAAGGACTTGGCAATTCAACATATCAACAAGGATGCCAGGGAATGGACTCTGGCAGTTTACTTACTAGAGAAAATAAAGGCCATGCCCCCTAACAAGGCGAAAGAAGGGAAGAAATTATGATTTACAGTGTAATATTCAACATCCAACTTTGAAGGACTATTTGTCAAAGAGTGGTGCCATCCAATACCTTCATGATCTTAAGCCTAATCAATATCATTCCATGCTAGCTAACAATGATAACTTAAACAGAGGTCATTACTTTAAACAAGACGCAATTGTGTGTGAGTCATCCAACAGCATGTCAGAATACAAAGTCAGTATTAAGAAATTTGAGCGATAGAGTTCTAAAAAGTCTGGAACAAGAGGAAAAGTATCCAGTTTCCCGTCTTGTTCCAAAGAAACAACCATCAGCAGCCACAATATGAATAGATGAGGTACTGTTATCTAAGTTAAGTTGCATTCCAGTTACTCCATGTCTTCTCTTTAATTTTTTAATCATGATTGCCAAGAATACAGAATATTAAAGTTTGTACATTTCTCAGACTTGGCCCTAACTTATTGAGGTCATTTGTCCAGCTCCAAAGTCGACAGGTTAACAGCTATAGATGTCTTCCAAAAAGTATTATCGTTTTCTTATTAGGATTTACAGCTTACAAGCATTAATAGAAAAATCTAAATGTAGCTTGACACTGCGTTACCTAGCTAGTCATTTGTGTTGTTATCTTTACTTCAGTTTTTGCCCTAGGGAACAAGGACCAAGCCCACACAGCATCTCATCACACAAGAAATTTGGCATGTTATGGGCAAGTAATAATGTAAAATCAAATCGCATAGGCCATTAAATTATTCGAAGGTAAAAGACGTCAATAAAGGCTAAATGATAAAAAGAAAATATTAAATGCAATCAGTACAACTATGAACATTCCATTTACAACAAAGCACAGAGGAGATTAAAATAATATGAAATAAAGATGATACCAGCGCACGAAATAGACACCGGCCATCCCCAGTAACCTTCACGACTGAGAAACGCTCAACCTTCTTCATAGCAGGTGAGTGCCCGCCGCTGTGAACAAATAACGAGGAGAATGCAGGCAAATTAAAGATGCCAAACCAAAAAAGGAAAAGAAAAGAAATATGCAAGCCTAGAGTTTAGCGGCATATAAGAGAAGAAATATCTGGGTCTTTAACGAAACTGCAATCCATTTTTGAAGCACCCAAAAAATAAAATAAAATACAGGAAAAGAAAAGGAAGGCAAGAGATAAATTTTAAACAAACAAAAGGATAACTTACAGCGAGGACCCAATCCTTGCAAAGAACCTGCTACTGTTGTCTCCAAAGGAACTTGTCTTCAAGTTACGAGCAGCGACTGAAATTGATGGAAGTGGAGAGGAAACAAGTTCAAATTTAGCAGTCCCGTTTCTCAGCTGCTCAAGAATAGCCTCTGTGTATGTCAAACATAAAAAATAGACAATTGAAATGTATTGGTATGTAATAGCAGCAATTATGAGTTGAAGATACTCCTCCAGCGAGGGCCAGTGTAGGTTCTCTGTTTGTTTGCAGAGTGATAGAAAGAGACCGAAATATAAAAGAGCTAGCGAAAAATGCCAAATATTGAAGGGATTCTTGAGATTACCATTCGAAAGCTTGCTAGCCATCGAGAGACTTTGCAGAAGGACGAGACAGCAACTACGCAAGAAAGAATAGCCGAGGCGGAGTGGTGACGACGAGAAGGGGGAGGATGACGTTTATTGACCCTTTAACCCCAATTTCTTTCATATGAAGACTTCAAATTTTTATTCACCAAAAAAAAAGAGACTTCAAATTTTTGAAAGGTCGATTGGGGGGATCCTTATCTATTACTGAAACTAAAAAGAAAAACCATATTAAAAGTATTTATACTTTCTTTTAATTTTTAATTTAGTACCTATGTGTTTTTTTTCTTTTAATTAAACATTTAATTTTATCTTTTTAGCAATATTAGTTCTTATAACTTTGTCCTATTAATATTTTTAGTCTTTACATAAGGATTAATAATGTTAATAGAGAAAAAATAAAGATTTAGTTAAGAACAAAAAACACATAGGTACCAAATTAAAAATTGAAAAAAAGTATAAGTACCTCCAATATGATTTTTCCAACTAAAAATAATGCTTCCACGACTCTACCACCCAGTCAATTCTGTTTCACTTAATCCCTATTTCATGGCCACATATAATTTTTATTTTGATCGTAAATATAAGACCTAATTCACTTTGTCTTTCATATTTATGTATTTTTTTAAGATAATCATTTCAGTAATGATAGTTCTTGTTTATATACTTAATTAGCAAGAATATTTTAAGAAAAATAACACCTATTTATTACAAATAACTAACTTAATAAACTTTTTTAATTTAATCAAATTAGTCAACTAACTCTTATTATTAAAATACAGTTCTAACTAAATAAATAAAATAGCCGCCTGTTATTCTCTTGCCATGTCTTGGGTGCAGTAGTTTCTTGGGAGAATTATTATGATACTTTAAGAAAAAAATAATTACTAACAGTTTTCACTGATAAATAAATAGATGAAACATGTAATTTTTTATTTTGAAATTTGTCATTATAACCTATTCGGTTATTATGAGATTTTTTTAGTGAATATCTTTCTTCTTTGAAACCTTATTACAATTCTGCATAATTTCTTTAAAACCTCTAATTCTTCTCAACGTAGCTTGAGAATATGAATTTTCATGAGAACTTTTAGGCATCTGTTATTAACTTTTTGTGAAGCAATCTAATACTACTTCTGTTAAAGCTTATTAACTAATTTGAGTAAATTAAAAAAAATTAATTAAATTAGTTATTTATAATAAATAGTTATTGTCTTTCTTAAAATATTCTTGCTAATCAAGTGTATTAATTAGAATTACCATTTGGTAAAATTTTCAATATGTGCAACTACTACAATGATTATTTTAGAAAAATAGATAAATATGAGAAATAAAGTGATAGGGATCTTATATTTAAAACTAAATTAAAAGTCAAATTAATTCTTATATTAAGTACTAAAATAGTATTAGTTTTAATTCTTATATTAAGTACTAAACGTAGTATTAGTTTCTTAAGAACCAAATTTGCATATCAGATTATGGTCTTCTTTTGGATGAATTCCCCACCATAAAGATTCTCTTCTCTCACACAGCCTCTAAAATCACTTCATGGTTCTTTCTCCTCCAATGGTGATAGCTTTAACTCCATTCTAAACAAATAATTAGCAACAACTAATTTTCCTTCAATGTTTCTCAATCTATAATAACGTGGGTCCAGTTTTCATGGGAATTCTCTTAATCTCTTGAAAGTGCGGCAAAAGAGAAGAAAAATATAGGACAAAAGGTTATCACAGTGAAAGGAGACGTTGGGTTTGGGATTAAATTGTGTCTAAGCTATCTGAAATATACAAATAATGGGAAAACTTCAATGATTGTCTCATTGTTCATCGAAATAACAATATTTTTTTTTCTTAAGCATGAACTCCATTTCCTCACCTTTTATAGAGGATCTATGTCTCCTCAATGAGCTAATTTACTGTGTTGCAGATTTACTGGCATACTGGGGACATCAAGTAAATGTTGAGACTATTTACATGAAATATTCTTATGAGAAATTTCGATCATCAGTCGCATCTAGCAAACTATTTCTCGTTCCACGTTTTCATGACCTCTAAATAGTATACCAAATATAAATTAGAGTTAAAATACGCCCAGCACTCCGAACTATTTTCTTAAGTGCATCCAATGTCTTAAGGTAATTTTTGGTGCATCAAATGTCTCAAACTAATTAAAATGGTACATCCATATCCCAAGTTAACAGAAAAAGTTAAGTTTGAATTTTATCTTACTAACTCAATTGAAGGTTGACCGAAAAATCTTACATGACGGATACGCAGGCGTCTGATGTGTATTATTTTGAATGAAAATTCAATTTATTTCCTTCTCTTCTAATGTTTATCTTCTGCCAGTTTTTACACTTTTAAAAAAAACAAAGAAAGAAAGACCACCGATCAACTCTCTTAAATCTTGGTACATGTACCACCTATTTAATCCTATCATTGTCTTCAACATTTTATCCCATTTCTTTCACCACTCCGATTTGAAACCACAATTGCCATCACAGCACACTTCTGTCTCCGTCTCTGTCAACTCCTCATCCGACTCACATTTGCTTTCTTCCTCATAGAACACAATAAACTTCCCCTTGGTCACTCTCCTCGACCTCGTCATCGCCTCCTGAGAAAACACTTGTGGCCACCGGGCTTGTCTCGAGAGTTTCAGTTAAAATAATACACATTAGACGCCTATTTGTCCCCCATGTAGGACTTTTTTGTCAACCTTCAGCTGAGTCAGCAAGGTAACGGTCAAACTTAACTTTTCTGTTAACTTGGGATATGGACGCACGATTTTAATTGGTCTGGAACACTAGATGCACCGAAAATTATTTTAGAACATTGGGCACACCTGAAAAAATAATTCGGGGTACTTGGCGCACTTTAACCCTATAAATTAATGTGATTCAATTTAAATTTTGAATGAGATTTGAATAAACTCATGTAATATCGATTTAAATTGAAAATTAAAATTGCTCATAAGTCACGATAACATCCATTAACACTATGTTTATTTGGCACGAGATTTTCAAAGGGGAGAGGAGAGAAGTTGCTCCCCTCTTCTTGTGTTGGCTGGTGTAATTTTTTAGGAAGGGAGGGGAGTTGCTCCCCTCCTTTTATTTGGTTAAGATATTTTTTAAAGAGGAGAGGGGCTCTTCTCCTCTACTCTTCCCTTCTAGCCTCCCTTCCAAAAGTGGGGTTTTTTGGAAGGAGATGAGAGATAAAATTTTAAGTTTCAAAATTGGCCTAACTAAAATACTTTAATTCCTCATATACTCTTTCGATTTATCAACATCTAATCAGTTGTAAACATTTCTACATAAGAGAGTTCTTTTGAACATCTAGCGAGAGGTTGTCGATATAGTTGTCTCCAAAATTAATGAGTATTATTGAACTTTTTTTTTTCTCTTCTTCTAATTCCAAGAGGCTGTACGTATTTTTTTTCAGCTTCAAGGTCTTTTCTCTAATTGAAATTTATCACTCACGACTTTTTATCTCGATATCCTATAAGTATGTGATTGTGACTTGTAAGTCCAAATTAATGAATTGTATTATATATATAGTTATATCTTGATAAAATAAAAAGGTGAGAAAATTCATTTAAATTTTATAAAGTTAAAATAGTCAATTTTTTATTAGAACAAAATAAGGTATCATTAAAATTGCTCCCTCCCCTCCCCTCTGATCAATCCAAACAGAGGATCATCAAAACTCTTCCCTCTCTTCCCTCCCCTCTGTAGCTACCCTTCCTTTTTTTTCATTAAAATCCCTCCCCTTCTCTTTTTTCTGTTGGGCCAAACAGGTGCATGATATTTTTCCCATGCACGACTTATTCTTTTATATATATATATATATATATATATTAATTGATTGTTGGATGATTGATATTGATTGACTGATGATGACAGTAATTTTTAACAAGATTCAAATCTTTTTACTTTTCGCTTAAGAAAAATCTTTTTACTATATAAATGGTATGATCATTTCTTAGTTTGTGCAAAATCACATTAAAAAAACTACAATTTTAATGTACATTGGTGATGTTAATTTATCGTTAGTTAGCCTGTTTGGCGTAGCTTTAAAAATAATTTATAAACATAGTTTACGTAAATTAAAATTTTTATATATATACTCCTCCGGTCTTTATTATAAGACCCCATTTGACTTTTTATTTGGTCCTAATTATAAGACCCCAATCCATTTTGTCTCTTATATTTATGCATTTTTTTCCAAGATAATCCTTCTAATAATGATAGTTTTAGCCAATATACTTAATTAACAAGGATATTTTAGGAATGACAACATTTATTTATTATAAATAACCAACTTAACTTACTTCCTTAATCTCCTCAAATAAGTCAATTGGGTCTTATAATTAGGACCGGAGGAGTATTTATCTTAATAAATTATCATTAAAAAATTTCTTGTAAATTATTCTGTGTTTTACAAATAAATACTCATCCGGTCCTTAATGTAAGACCCATTTAACTAATTTGATTAAATTAAGGAAATTAGGTAAGTTAGTTAGTTATAAGAAAAGTGATACATTTTTTCTAAAACACCGTAATCATCCTTCTTAATACCCCATCTTCTTCTTTTATTTGATTATGGTTGAGGGAGTATTAATAAGGATAATTTATAAAAAATTAATAAATATGATAAATGAGTCTTATATTTAAGACCAAAACTAACTCAACAAATGAATTAGCCGAGGAGTAGTATCTTACAAGGAAGGGAAAAGATTGTCGGGAGTGACGTAGGAGGCGAGCAAGCGGGCGTGCTGTGCCGGCACGGAGAGATCACGGCTTACAATGCAGACGTGCTTCGGTCATACAGTGGCAGCAAATTTCGCTGCTTAACGGCCAAACCGAAAAAAGTTGCCTCATTTATAAACCGATAGATCACTAACTTAATTACACCCAGGCCCCCTTCCAAGTTCGCGCTCCTTGTTAGTATCGCCCCCCAACTCCTTTTCTTCGAACAACACCCCAACCGTAGCTAACAACATTCATTGACGATCTCCTCGATGACCCTTCTTTTCTCTCTCATTCCTTAGTAATCCTCTGTTTTCTTT